GCTGGCGGATCACTTGAGGTCAGGAATTCAAGACCGGCCTGCCCAACATGGTGAGACCTCATCTCAACTAAAAATACAAAAATTAGCCATGCTGGCGTGCCTGCAGTTCCAGCTATTTGGGAGGCTGAGACAGGAGAATCGCTTGAACCCGGGAGGCAGAGGTTGCAGTGAGCCAAGAAAGCACCATTGCATTCCAGCCTGGGCAACAGAATGAGACTCTGTCTCAAAAAAAAAAAAAAAAAAAATTGAAGAATGCCTTTCCTGTATTACATACAACTATGACCTGCTAATGTATAGACTTAACAAAAACTAAGGGCTACTCATCAGTAACTAGTGAGGTGTGAAGAACAGCTCAAAGCTGCCTATTATCTAAAATGAATGTGTTAGTAGATTCTGGTAGACTTTTAAGTCAGCATTTGTAGTAGGTGCTATAGGCCCTTCTGAAGTCCCTCTGGCCTTACACCTTCTATGGGCTTCATCTGACTCAGTGTCTACACCTTGTGGCCTTCAGGGTAATAAGACATCCTGGGAGCAGCCATCAACCAATCACTGATGAGAATTGGATAAACACCAAATTCTCCATCTCCCCATGTGTGGAAACTCAAGCATGTTTTACAGTTTCCAGAGGTTCCCCATGAATTGCACACAGGCATTCACCCCAGTAGGTGTCTCATTGGGTTACTTCCCTTCTCCGTCTTTTCTATCTTCCCTGACTTTTGCAATCTCTCCCAGACAAACTACTTGTATTCAAAAAGTGTCCATTATGGTCTCTGAGACCAATTATGGTCTCTTCTCTTTCCACAGTTATTCTAAGCACATTCTGACATTCAGTTTAAGTTGAGCTGAGTGTATTCTCCCTAAACTCGATAATATAAGAAATCCATTTCAAATTATTTTGATACCCTAAACATAATCCTATGTCTGTATTAAAAAGTGCTCTAATTTGCCAGGCATGGTGGCAGACACCTGTAATTCCAGCTACTCAGGAGGCTGAGACAGGAGAATCACTTGAACCTGGGAGGTGGTGGTTTCAGTGAGCTGAGATCATGCCACTGCAGTCCAGCCTGGGTGACAGAGTAAGACTCTGTCAAAAAAAAAAAAAAAAAAAGAAAGAAAATTGCTCTCAGGCCAGGTGCAGTAGCTCATGCCTGTAATCCCCAATGCTTTGGGATGCCAAAGTGGGCGGATCACTTCAGCTCAGGATTTCGAGACCAGTCTGGCCAACATGGTGAAACCTCGTCTCTTTTACCAGTCCCAGCTACTTACAATGATTTGATACAGAGTCTCACTCTGTCACCCAGGCTGGAGTGCAGTGGCGTGATCTCAGCGTACTGCAACCTCCACCTCCCAGATTCAAGCGATTCTCCTGCCTCAGCCTCCCAAGTAGCTGGGACTTACAGGTGCCAGCCACCACAGCAGGCTAATTTTTGTATTTTTAGTAGAGACGGGGTTTTGCCATGTTTGCCATGCTTGTCTTGAATGCCTGACCTTGTGATCCGCCCACCTCGGCCTCCCAAAGTGCTGGGATTACAGGCATGAACCACTGCGCCCAGCCTCTTTTACTATTTTTTTTTTAAGACCCCGTCTTTTACTTTTAAAATACAAAAATTAGCTGGGTGTGGTGGTGTGTGCCTATAGTCTCAACTGCTTGGGAGGCTGTGATGGAAGGACTGCGTAAGCCCAGGAAATTGAGGCTGCAAATAAGCCAAGATCACACCATTGTACTCCAACCTGGGCAACAAAGTGAGACCCTTTAAAAAAAAAAAAAAAAAAAAAAGGGGCCGGTGCAGTGGCTCACGTCACTGGGATCACCTGAGGTCAGGTCTTTGAGACCATCCTGATCAACATGGTGAAACCCTGTTTTTACTAAAAATACAAAAATTACCCAGGTGTAGTGGCGGGCACCTGAAATCCCAGCTACTCAGGAGGCTGAGGCAGGAGAATCTCTTGAACCCGGGAGGCGGAGGTTGCAGTGAACTGAGATTGCACCACTGCGCATCAGACTGGCCTGGGCAACAGAGTGAGACAATGTCTCCCCCCTCAAAAAAAAAAGATAGTTTGTATTTATAATTCTCTCCAATGACCAGTTCAGGCATTCAGGCACTTGTCAGTCAGATTAATCCTCATGATTAAAGAAAGTACAAACAGGAGAGAACTGGTTTTCTTTTTGTTGTTTTGTTTTTTTGAAATGGAGTTTCGCTCTTGTTGCCCAGGCTTGAGTGCAAATAGCACTATCTCAGTTCATCGCAACCTCTGCCTCCTGGGTTCAAGCAATTCTCCTGCCTCAGTCTCCTGAGTAGCTGGGATTGCAAGCATGTGCCACCACGCCTGGCTAATTTTGTATTTTTAGGAGAGATAGGGTTTTTCCATGGTGGTCAGGCTGGTCTCAAATTCTGGACCTCAGGTGATCTGCCCACCTGAGCATCCCAAAGTGCTGGGATTACAGAAGTGAGCCACTGTGCCCAGTCGAGAACTGTTTCTAATTCACTGGGCCACAGGGACCTGCCAGATCTAGAGAGGCTCAGCCATAGAAAATCAGCAGTGGGCCGGGCGCGGTGGCTCAAGCCTGTAATCCCAGCACTTTGGTAGGCCGAGGCGGGTGGATCACGAGGTCAAGAGATCGAGACCATCCTGGTCAACATGGTGAAACCCCGTCTCTACTAAAAATACAAAAAAATTAGCTGGGCATGGTGGCACGTGCCTGTAATCCCGGCTACTCAGGAGGCTGAGGCAGGAGAATTGCCTGAACCCAGGAGGCGGAGGTTGCTGTGAGCCGAGATCGCGCCATTGCACTCCAGCCTGGGTAACATGAGTGAAACTCCGTCTCAAAAAAAAAAAAAAAAAAAGAAAATCAGCAGTGACATTCGAAGTGCAGCCATCCTGACATGGCTCCAAACCCTTAGAGGGAGATGAAGGTCCTGTCCAGGCCAGAGACCCTTCAGTTTCTAGACAGTTCCTAGAGCAAGAGAAGCCACCATTACCTCCACCCAGACTAGACCCGGAACTCTGCCCTGTGTTTTTCAGGGGCCACTAGTGCTCTGACTGCTGCTTCCTGATGATATTCCTTTAAGCAGAGGCCTCTGTCTATTACACCTGCCCCAGCTCACCTGCATCAAGGAGATAGTGGTCTCCTGACCGTGACAGTGGGAGCCCCTACTTGAGCTAGGCAATACCCTCTTCCCTTCATTTTCACAGGACCTGGAAAGGACAAGCACACTTGCTCTACTGGAGATGAGGTTTTTTTGAGACGGAGTCTTGCTCTTGTTTCCCAGGCTGGAGAGCAGTTAGCTAACCGCAACCTCTGCCTCCCAGGTTCAAGTGATTCTTCTGCGTCAGCCCCCCGAGTAGCTGGGATTACAGGCATGTGCCACCACACCTGGCTAATTTTGTATTTTTAGTAGAGATGGGGTTTCTCCATGTTGGTCAGGCTGGTCTCAAACTCCCAACCTCAGGTGATCTGCCCACCTCAGGTGATCCGCCCGCCTCAGCCTCCCAAAGTGCTGGGATTATAGGTGTGAGCCACCGCACCCGGCTGGAGATGAGTTTTATGGTCTATTTTATTCATTTCTGCGTGAAATACTCAGATTTTTGTATAATAAACCTTGTGTTATCATGATAAATATATATTTGGTCTTCATTCCCAGTGACTAGCAGAGAGCTCCCCAAATCCTTAAGAGAATTCCTGAAGGCTAAGGGTGCTAAGAGCGTCTTTTGTTCTATTTATTTGGTCTTTGACACTGGTTCCTGACACAGAGCTACTAAATTGACTGGAATTTCCTGAGTGCTGAATGTCTTTGTTCTAATAGGGCAACTCTTGGATTCCCGATGGGTTCAGCTTGAGGGGCTGGTCAGTGGAAAGACCAAGCCATGATTAGAAGCTTGGAACTTAAGGCTGGGCGCGGTGGCTCACACCTGTAATCCTAGCACTTTGGGAGGCCAAGGCAGGCGGATCACTTGAGGTCAGGAGATCAAGACCATCCTGCCCAACATGGTGAAACCCTGTCTCTACTAAAATACAAACAATTAGCCAGGCATGGTGGCGTGTGCCTGTAGTCCCAGCTACTCTGTAGGCTGAGCCAGAGGAATTGCTTGAACCCAGGAGGCAGAGGTTGCAGTGGGCCAGGATTGCACCATTGCACTCCAGCCTGGGCAACCGAGGGAGACTCTGTCTCACCAACACAGCAGCCGCAACCAAAAAAAAAAAAGCAAGTTATCAAACTGAACTCTTAGGCTCCTAGAATGGGAAAGAGGGACTATGCAAAATTAGGTTTTCTGAAAAGTGAAAAATGCAGAGTGACTCTTATGTGTACTGAGCTTTCCCAGGTCTTCTGGAAATTATGAAGTAGTTGAAATCCTCTCTGCCATCTAAGGACAAAGGCAAATTTTAAATGACTAAAATATATTCTTAGGGAAGTATTAATAATTGTAGTGAGCAAGATTTGGTTCAAAAGTAAATAAAGGTAGGCTGGGTGTGGTGGCTCACGCCTATAATTCCAGCCAAGGCAGGAGGATTCCTTGAGCCCAGGAGTTCGAACCCAGCCTAGGCAACATAGCAAGACCCCAATCTCTTAAAAAAAAATAGTAGGGTGTGGTGGTGTGTGCCTGTGGTCCCAGCTACTCAGGAGGATCGCTTGAGCCCAGGAGGTTGAGGCCACAGTAAGCCATGATCGCACCACTGGGCTCCAGCCTGGGGGACACAACAAGACTCTGTCTCAAAAATAAATACCTAGAGGTAGGAAAACGGCAGATGACAAGGACAGAAGCCTGTTACATGTCAGCCTCGCTCTTAACATCAGAAGTCTCTCACCCAGCACCAGCTCATATTTCAGAAGGCCCCCCTACTTCCTCATTCCTCATTCACTGAAATTATCAGTCTGTAATAAGACTCAAGTCAGACTGAGCCTATCTTGTATGAGATTCTTGAGGAAGATCCATAATTGACTGAAATACTCCAAAATGGCAAGGAATGTCGTTCTGGACAAGCAAAGAAACAGGCCAAGTCACACAGAAACATATCAAACTGATAGCACTTTATTTTTTTGAGATGGAATCCCACTCTGTTGCCCAGGCTGGAGTGCAGTGGTGTGATCTCGGCTCACTGCAACCTCTGCCTCCTGCATTCAAGTGATTCTCCTGCCTCAGTCTCCTGAGTAGCTGGGATTACAGGTGCGCACCACCACGCTCAACTAATTTTTGTATTTTTAGTAGAGACAAGGTTTCACCATGTTGGCCAGGCTGGTTTTGAACTCTTGATCTCAAATGATCCACCTGCCTTGGCTTCTCAAAGTGCTGGGATTACAGGCGTGAGCCACCACGCCCAGCCAACAGCACTTTATCTTGATGAATTCTTTGGTGTCGGATAAGGTGTGTACTTTGTCTAAATCTTTCTCCACATTCAAGACATTTGTAAGGCTTTTCTCCAGTGTGAATTCTCTGGTGTTTAATAAGGGTTGCACTCTGATTGAAGCGTTTCCCACAGACAGAACATTCATAGGGCTTCTCCCCAGTGTGGATTCTCTGGTGTTTAAAGAGGTCGGAGCGCTGTTTGAAGCTCTTCTCACATTCTGCACACTTATAGGGTCTCTCTCCTTTATGTAGTCTCTGATGTCTAAAAAGGTTGGAAATATGGCAGGTTTCCCCACATTCCTCACATTTAAAATGTTTGTCTCCACTGTGGGTACTTTGATGACGATTTAGGTGTGAATTCTGCCGGAAGCGCTCCCCGCATTTCAGACAGGTGTATGGCTTCTCGCCTGTGTGTGTCCTCTGGTGCTTGGTCAGGGCAGCGCTCTGGCTGAAGCTTTTCCCACATTCTTGGCAGCCATAGGGCTTCTCACCTGTGTGGATTCTCTGGTGTCTAAAGAGGTCAGAGCGTTGTTTGAAACTCTTCCCACAGTTATCACATTTATAAGGTCTTTCTTCATGGAGCTGTCTCTGGGTCTTGAAAAGGCTGGAATGATGGAAACTGTTTCCACTGTGAGACTTGTGAGGTTTCAGCATGTGCCACGTCATGACATGGAAACTCTGATTGCACATGTTCCCGTGTTCCTCACCGTCAATGGGCCTCTCTGCTTTCGGGATGTGCTGACATAGAACAAGGTTGGAACATCTGGCACTGTTCTGCAATTCATTATTTTTAGAGTCTTCCCCTTCCATGGAACTATTCCTGTTGACATCTGAGATGCTAGTGAGTCCCTGCGCTTCAGGAGAATTTTCAAGTTTCAGGGGCAAAGCGTTTCTGGACTGCTTTTCTACCCTGTTGTCATGGGTATGGCCACACTTAGAAAACAGGGGGGGCTTCCCCTGGAATGCTTCTTGTAGTTGCTCCTGTGGCTCTGCTTCTTCTAAAATTTCTTGCATTGGAATCAACTCTTTGTTCTCTGTTCTGCTTTCCAAACCTGAAGGATGAAAATACAAATTGCTGCCACTGTATCCCTGTGCAAAACTGAAATAAGCAAGTGCTGGTAGAATGTTAAACACTCAAAACCTTTTTACTCTTCATTTTATTTACTTATATTTTCTTTCTTTTTTTTTTTTTTTTTTTTTTTGAGATGGAGTCTCACTCTGTTGCCTAGACTGGAGTGCAGTGGCACAATCTCAACCCACTGCAACCTCTGCCACCCAGGTTCAAGTGATTCTCTAGCCTCAGCCTCCTGAGTAGTTGGGATTACAGGAGCCTGCCACTGCTCCTGGCTAATTTTTATAGTTTTAGTAGAGATGGGGTTTTAACCATCTTGGCAGGCTGGTCTTGAACTCCTGACCTCCCAAAGTGTTGGGATTACAGGTGTGAGCTACTGCAACCGGCCTATTTTATTTTTTTGACATGGAGTTTCACTCTTGCTGCCCAGGCTGGAGTGTAATGTCGTGATCTTAGCTCACTGCATCCTCAGCCTCCTGGGTTCAAGCAATTCTCTTGCCTCAAGCTTCCAAGTAGCTGGGATTATAGGTGCCCATCACCAGGCCTAATTTTTGTATTTTTAGTAGAGATGGGGTTTCACCATGTTGGCTGGGCTGGTTTTGAACTCCTGACCTCAAGTGATTCACCCACCTTAGCCTCCCAAAGTGCTGGGATTATGGGTGTGAGCCACTACACCTGGCCGAAGGGAGCAATTTGAGCAAAGTCCTGAAGCTTTGCTTCCTACAGAGCTGGAGCAGAACATGCCAGGCAGAGGGATCATATATAGCAAAAAGACCAGGAGGCAGGGGGCTTGGCATGTTTTGGAACAGTAAGGCAGTGTGGCCAGAGCAGAGGGGCAGAGGAACGGAAGGGTGGGCAGGGTGCCAGGGCCTTGGCACATCAGGCATCACAGGCCGATGGCTCTCGCTTTGTGTGAAAGGGGAGCCACTGCCGGCTCTGAGCAGTGACATAATCCAACACATGCAAAAGAACACTGTGGCTACTGTGTCAAGATGTCATGCCATCAGCTGATAACATGAAATGTATTTTTTTATTAAACATTTTTAAGAAAGAGATGGGGTCTCTCTATGTTGCCCAGGCTAGTCTTGAGCTCCTGGCCTCAAACAATCCTCCCATCTTGGCCCCCCAAAGTGCTAGGATTACAGGTGTGAACCACGGCACCTGGCCAACAGCAAATGTTGACAAGAATGTGGAGAAAGAAAAATCCTCAATACTGCTGGTGGCATATACATTAGTTATGAGCTCTTTGGAGAGCAAGATGAACTTACAGTAGTTCCCTGTTCTCTGTGGGGGACACACTCCAAGACCACCAGTGATGTGTAAAATTGTGTATAGTACCAAACCCTATATATATAAAATGTTTTTTCCTAAACATACATCCCTGTAATCAAGTTTCATTCATAAATTAGGGACATCAAGAGATTTATAGTAACTACTAACTGTAACAATATACTTAGCTGGATGTGGTGGCTCATACCTGTAATCCCAGCACTTCAGGATGCCAAGGTGGGTGGATCACCTGAGGTCAGAGTTCAAGACCAGCCTGGCCAACATGGTGAAACCCCATCTCTATTAAAAACACAAAATTAGCTAAGCATGGTGGCACATGCCTGTAATCCCAGCTACTCAGGAGGCTGAGGCAGAAGAAATGCTTGACCCAGGAGGCAGAGGTTGCAGTAAGCCGAGACCATGCCACTGCACTCCTCTGGGCCAAAAAAGTAAAACTCTGTGTCAAAAAGTCCCCAAAAAACAAACAAACAAAAAAACCCCAAAACGAGAAACAAATGCTATACTGTAATAAAAGTCACATGAATGTGGTCTCTCCCGCTCTTAAAATACTTGATTGTACTGCATACTATGGGTAAGTGAAACCACAGAAAGCAAAACCAGGAAGGGGGACTACTGCCTGTCTCCAGGCACATTCTCTTCTGAAACTCCAGAATATGAACAAATACACAAAAATATGCAAGAATATACAAGAATGTTCAGTGCAACACTGTAACGGTGAAAAGCTTAAGACAACTAAATAACCATCAACAGAATGGATAGAACTTTGGAGTATCTGGACAGTGAAATATGGAGGTGTTAAAATAGAGCTCCATGTATCAACATGAGTAAATCTCAAAAATGTAATGTTGAATAAGAAAAGCCATCCAGTAATGATCTGTAGTATGGAGCTACGTGTATATGTAGAGAGAATATAAGACATGCATGGAAGTCATAAACGTGACAGGATACTGGCTACCTCTGGAGGAGGAGAGAGGGGAAGGGTTTCAGGGAGGGTATGTGGGGGGCCTCACCTATAGCTGTAACATATTATTTCCTTGGCAATATGGCCAAGCATTAAGAAATGCTAAAGCCGGGTGGTGGACACAGGGAATGCCCATCATTTTTTTAAAAAATAGTTTTCTGTATGTATAAAAATTAAAAATGAACCAAAGTGGAAAGCTGAATCTAGCACCTAACAGTACAGAGGCTCCTGCTTGGGCTACAGAAGACACTTGAAGGCTCTCAGCCCGTCTGGGAATGACATACCGGCTCAGGGATGGTAGTGAACCAGCCCTTCACAAACCACTTAGCGCTATAAACCAGCAGAGCAACAGCACTCACTCGGCGGGACTGTGCTCCCGGAATCCTTCTGCACGCTCTCTCTGTAGAAGTCCTTCTGTGCTGGGTCCAGGCGCTCCCACTCTTCCCAGGTTAGAGACATGGCCACGTCCTCAAAAGTCATCATCCCCTGGAACAACACAAGAGCCCCATTCAGCACCTGCTGCCCTTGTAAAACAGTACTCTTCTTCTGGAGTCTTGTACTGACCAGGGAGTTTGCAGAAATCAGATAGAGGCTGACATTCTCTTGTAATTCTGAAAAGCCTTTCTGTGGACTATTTACACTAATTTTGGGGGTAAGTAGGAGTAAAATATTTCTTTAACTTGTATCACTATGATGTATGGAAATATGACATAGATTAAAAGTAAACATGGGCCGGGCGCGGTGGCTCAAGCCTGTAATCCCAGTACTGTGGGAGGCCGAGGCGGGTGGATCACGAGGTCAAGAGATCGAGACCATCCTGGTCAACATGGTGAAACCCTGTCTCTACTAAAAATACAAAACATTAGCTGGGCATGGTGGCGCGTGCCTGTAGTCCCAGCTACTCAGGAGGCTGAGGCAGGAGAATTGCCTGAACCCAGGAGGCGGAGGTTGCGGTGAGCCGAGATCGCGCCATTGCACTCCAGCCTGGGTAACAAGAGCGAAACTCCGTCTCAAAAAAAAAAAAAAAAAGTAAACATGGCTGGGTGTGGTGGCTGACACCTGTAATCCCAGCACTTTGGAGGCTGAGGCAGGTGAATCACCTGAGGTCAGGAGTTTGAGGCCAGTCTGGTCAACACGGTGAAACCCTATCTCTACTAAAAGTACAAAAACTTAGCTGTGTGTGGTGGCATGCGCCTATAGTCCCAGTTACTCGGGAGGCTGAGGCAGGAGAATCGCTTGAACCTGGGAGGCGGAGGTTGCAGTGACCCAAGATCATGCCACTGCACTCCAGCTTGGGCAACAGGAGTGAAACTCCATCTCAAAAAACAATAAACAATAAAAATAAACTCATAACCAGAAGGCCTAGAGGTCCAAGGCTGGCTCTGTGTGACACTGTTTCCTCTTGTGTAAAACAGATACAAATATTCAAAAATGAAGGTACTACACCCACTTGTAGATGCTCAGTAAGATGCCTTTCCTTTCTTTTGACCACTTCATGATAAGATAATTGTCCAACTAGGTGATCGTCGGGATGGCTGGGTGTGGTGTTGTTTTCCTGTAGTCTTAGCAATTTTTTATTTTTTGAGACAGGGTCTCACTTTGTCACCTAGGCTGGAGTGCAGTGGTATGATCCTGACTCACTGCAACCTCCACCTCCTGGATTCAAGAGATTCTCCTACCTCAGCCTCCCCAATTGCTAAGACTACAGGTGCACAACACCACACCCAGCTAATTTTTGTATTTTTCTATAGAGACAAGAGTTTCGTCATGTTTCCCAGGCTGGTCTCAAACTCCTGAGCTCAAGTGATCCACTGCCTCAGCTTCCCAAAGTGCTGGGATTCCAGGCATGAGCCACAGAACTAGGCCTGAGATGGCTATTCAAATATGAGTTGATCATTCAGAGGTTAAGGCCACAAGGGAAGGTTCTAAAACTGGTAAGGTAGATGTTTGTTTGTCCAGGTTCCAGTAATGGGGGTCACAAACAGACTCCAGGACTCTCTCACTCACTGTATTGTGTGTGTAAACATATATATGTATATTTCACTTCTTGCATCTTATTATGTTTTAACATCCTAAAAACATTTATGGCCTGGTGCTGTGGCTCACACCTGTAATACCAGCACTTTGGGATGTGGAGGCAGGCAGATCGGGAGGTCAGGAGTTCAAGACCAGCCTGACAAACATGGTGAAACCTTGTCTCTACTAAAAATACAAAAATAAGCCGGGCATGGTGGCATGTGCCTACAGCCCCAGCTACCGGCAACTATAGGAGGCAGGAGAATGGCTTGAACCCAGGAGGTGGAGGTTGCAGTGAGCCAAGATCGTGCCAATGCACTCCAGCCTGGGCAACAGGGGGAGACTCCATCTCAAAAAAAAAAAAAAACCCTTCTGGCTAGGGAGAGACTGCCACTCCCAAGCTAGCCAATTCTTTTTTTTTTTTTTTTTGAGACACAGTCTCACTCCATCACCCAGGCTGGAGTGCAGTGGCATGATCTTGGCTCACTGCAACCTTTGCCTCCTGGGTTCAGGAGATTCTCCTGTCTCAGCCTCCCGGGTAGCTGGACTATAGGCACCTGCCACCACATCCGGCTAATTTTTGTATTTTAGTAGAGACGGGGTTTCATCTTGTTGGTCAAGCTAGTCTCGAATTCCTGACCTCAGGTGATCCACTCGCCTCGGCCTCCCAGAGTGTTGGGATTATAGGCATGTGCCACCGGTGCCCAGCCGCCAATTCTTAAAGATAGCAAAGGGTTCAGCCTTCTGTGCAAACCTGTGCTGTGCAAATTAACCAATCCAGAGCCCTAGCTACAGCTTCTATCTGTCCCTTACACCCCAGGAGGCAATACTCCACTGCCTTCATCCCAGGGCCGGGTGCCAGGCCATTAGCAACCACCCCTATGGCTCAGAGCACTGAAATTATTCTAACTATCCAATACTGAAGTGCTACACATGCCTGCCCTTCTTGTGGAAACGCCAATAAAAGTTGAGGCTTCGGCTCTCCGCTGGTTCTTGTCCTTTCTGCCGGGTGCTTCCCTATGTTGCCCTGTGTGCTGTGGCACATCTTGCCTCCTGTCTCTAGGACCTGTGAGTATAAAAAACTTTGTTGGCTGGGTGCGGTGGCTCATGCCTACAATCCCAGAACTCTGAGAGGCTGAGGCGGGTGGATCACCTGAGGTCAGGAGTTCAAGACCAGCCTGGCCAACATGGTAAAACCCCATTTCTACTAAAAGTACAAAAATTAGCTGGGCGGGGTGGTGGGCACCTGTAATCCCAGCTACTTAGGAGGCTGAGGCAGAGGAACAGCTTGAACTCAGGAGGCGGAGGCTGCAGCGAGCCGAGATCGTGCCACTGCACTCCAGCCTGGGCAAAAAAAGTGAGATTCCATCTCAACAAAAAAAACAAAAAACAAAAACAAAAACAACTCTTTTTCTGAGCCTATGCTGAGATAAAAAAGACATCTTTTAGTGACACCCTCTCTCCCTCAAACAGCAAGTTCCATGGTCCACCATCTCTTGCATGTATCATGTTAAAATCCACAGAACAGACTCAACACTGACTACAATGTGTGAGACATGAGACCAGGAAAGTGGGAATAGGTGCAGAAAACCTTCCTGGACTCACCCCTACATATCAGATGCACGGGAATGAGGTTCGCTGGTCTTGTCCTTGGGCTTCCAGTGGCCTCAGCAACTTGCACCTCTCCTTAGAAACTGGCTTCACGGGCCAAGCGCTGTGGCCCATGCCTATAATCCCAGCACTTTGGGAAGCTGAGGCAGGTGGATCACCTGATGTCAGGAGTTTGAGACCAGCTTGGCCAACATAGTGAAACCCTGTCTCTACTGAAAATATAAAAATTAGGTGGGCGTGGTGGCAGGCGCTTGTAATCTCAGCTACTCTGGAGGCTGAGGCAGGCTGAGGCAGTTGAACTTAGGAGGTGGAAGTTGCAGTGAGCCGAGATCATGCCATTGCATTCCAGCCTAAATGACAAGAGCAAGACTCTGTCTTAAAAAAAAAAAAAAAAAAAAAAAAAACTGGCTTAATGCCACATCTCCCTTAGTTCTAGCTTAAGTTACATTGTGTTCCTGCTGCTAGTTAGATGATGACTGTGACAGCAAGGAGGAGGTTGGAAACCAAGAGACAACCCTGACTGAAGATTATTGTTGCTTCCCTCATTTTTCCTAGTCAGGTAGTATGGCATTGGGGTTAAGTGCATAGACTATACAACCAGTCGCCTGGCTTTGAATTCTAGTTCTCTACTTACCAAAAATGGGACCTTAGACAGACAAGTTGAAAAAAATCTAGGTTATTCTGATACTTTATCTTTCCCTTCCGAAGCCCACCTCCTTTTATTTTAGAAATGTTGCCGGGCTCAGTGGCTTATGCCTGTAATCCCAGCACTTTGGGAGGCCGAGGCAGGCGGATCATCTGAGGTCAGGGGTTTGAGACCAGCCTGACCAACATGGTAGAACCCCGTCTCTACTAAAAATACACAAAAATTAGCTGGGCGTGGTGGTGGGTGCCTGTAATCTCAGCTACTCAATTGAGAGACTGAGGCAGGAGAATCACTTAAACCTGGGAGGGTGGAGGTTGCAGTGAGCCAAGACTGTGCCATTGCACTCCAGCCTGGGCATTAGAGCGAGACTGTCTCAAAAAAAAAAAAAAAAAAAGAAAAAGGAAATATCAAGACTTTCAGAGGAAATGAAGGATGGACCATCTATCCTTTAGGAGATCCTCTACAAATATTCCTTCTTCTTGCAACAGGGCTTTTAATAATGCCAGGCAGCCAAATTAGTTTATAATTATAGCTAAAGGAAGTCTCTGGAAGGGAGATACACACTTGCAGATTAAGTGAATGAAGACTGACATGAGCAGGATGGCATTCTACTTGAAGAGTTTGACCAGAGGCCTTACATCTCCACAAGGAAGGAGGGTGACTGACCCAGAGCTTTCAGGCAGGGACAAGACTGTGTCTACTCAAACACAGACACAAATGCAGGATCAAACCTTTCAAAATTCTATTCCCTACTAGATCAGTGGTTCTAGACCCGGGGTGACTTTGCACCCCATGGGACATCTGGCAATATTGAAGACATTTTCCTTATCGCAAGGGGTGATGGTGGCAGTGGGGGTGAGGTGACTGGCATCTAGTGGGTAGAGGTCAGGGATGCTGCCTCACACATCCTACAATGCACAGTACAGCCCCCCCTCCACGCCTACAACAAAGAAGCAACTGGCACGAATATGAATGGTGCCAAGTTTGACAAACTGCCCTGCATGTGGCTGAAATATGAAATGCTCATTTTTTTTTTTTTGGTCTGGAAAATGTTTTAAGATGAACGTTTCGCCAAGCATGGTGGCTTATGCCTGTAATCTCAGCACTTTGGGAGGCTGAAGCAGGTGGATCATCTGAGGTCGGGAATTTGAGACCAGCCTGGCCAACATGGTGAAACCCCATCTCTACTAAAAATACAAAAAATTAGCCACGCATGGTGGTGCATGCCTGTAGTCCCACTTACTCGGGAGGCTGAGGCAGGAGAATCACCTGACCCTGGGAGGCGGAGGCTGTGGTTAGCCGAGATCTCGCCATTGCACTCCAGCCTAGGCATGCGCGCGTGCGCGCGCACACACACACACACACACACACACACACACACACACAAAGATTAACATTTCACACTGACTGTGAACTCTATCTCATAAACAGTACATCCAAATTACATTTCAAAACCACTAATGTAGAGTCTCAGAATATTATTCTACTTCTCAACATAACCTTCTGAAGGGTCTCACACACTTCTGTTATTCTAATATCTGCAAACCCCCCCAAAAAACTAGCACTGTAAATAAGGTGTACGCAGGTATGCAGCAGTGGACCAGAAATCAAAGGCAGAGCTGCCTTCTGTTGTTATCTAAATTGTACCAGATTACAGAGGAGGAAACAGAGACCCAAGAGGCCTAGGTAATGGCTGGAAGGGGTAGATATGGTTCCTAGGACCTGGATCTCCTAACTCCTGGATCAGTGCTTTTTCTTTCTTTTATTTTTTTGAGACGGAGTTGCGCTCTTGTCGCCCAGGCTGGAGTCCAGTGGCGCGATCTCGGCTCACTGCAACCTCTGCCCCCCAGGTTCAAACAATGCTCTCGCCTCAGCCTCCCGAGTAGGCGCCCGCCACCACACCCAGCTAATTTTTTGTATTTGTAGTAGAGACGGGGTTTCCCCATGTTAGCCTACGTGTATGTTCTCCATACACGCCTATGTCCACACTCCCACCCCCAGAAAGGGCCTTTCACTTCTCACCTGGGGTGAGGTCCCATCGAGCGCTCGCTGCAGAGCCTGCACCACGGCCACCGCCTCCTCCCCGCTCTCCGGGCAGTGCTCTCGCACCCAGGCCTGGAGCTCCTCAGGCAGGATGGTGAGGAACTGCTCCAACACCAGCAGCTCGAGGATTTGCTCCTTGGAGAGCAGCTCGGGCCTCAGCCACCGACGACAGAGTTCTCGGAGCCGGCTCAGCGCCTCTTCCGGTCCCGCCACCTCCTGGTAACGCAGCTGCCTAAAGTGCTGTCGAGAAGTTTCGGGGTCCGGCCAAGTCCCGGGATAGCTGGGCTCCCAACTTCCGGGTGAGTCTTCCTCCACCTTCACAGGTAAAAGTCCGTCACGTTGGGACGGCGCGGCGTCCCTGGACCTCCCAGCCATCACCCAGGGTCCCGACTCCACGTCACTGCAGCGCCTCTGGGTGGTCAAGCTGGAACTCATCTTTCTCCGGCATGTGCTGCCCTTCCTGGAGTCTTCCTTTCAGGTGAAGAAGGAGCAAACCCAAGGAACTCACCGGCCCTCACCACCCTCTGATCCCAAACACTTGGCTCCACCACGCCAAGCGCCTCTCGCGCACTTCCTCCTTTCTTCAGCTGAGTGCCTACGACTCCTAGTCCCGCAACCAAAAATAACATCCCATGCCGGAAGTGCGTCATCGACTCCCTGCGGCGTCCTTCCCTGCATTTCCGGGGGGTCTCTAGGCGTCCGATGGGGTGAGCTGCATCTCACTTGTTTACCGCCCTCGTCCCGCCAGGCCCAGTGGGTCCTGGCCTTTTCCTGCTGCCCGGCGAAATACTGGAGTCCGAGCCGGTGGCCGAACGCCGGCAAGCGTGGGAACCTTCAGTATTGGAGAAAACAAAAACAATTTTTCCTTTCTTTTCTTTTTTTAATAGACAGAGTCTCGCTTTATTGCCCAGGCTATAGTGCAGTCGCGCGATCTCCGCTCACTGCAACTTCTGTCTCCCGGGTTCAAGCAGTTCTCCAGCCTCAACCTCCCAACTATCCAGGACTACAGGTGCGCGCCACCACGCCCGGCTTTATTAATTTTTTTCTAGGGACGGGTGAGTTCCTTGGGTTTGCTCCTTCTTGACTATGTTGTCCAGGTTGGAAAAAGGTTTTTCCAACTTGGAAACAAACAAATAAAAACAAAACTAAGTGCTTCCATGTACATCAGCCGTGAACGACTTTGATCATAACAGAGAAGAGGAAATTAAGACCTGTAGTCATAGCTACTCGGGAGGCTGAGGCAGGAGAATCGCTTGAACCCGGGAGGCGGAGGTTGCAGTGAGCCGAGATCCCGCCGCTACCCTCAAGCCTGATGACAGAGCGAGAGGCTCCTTTTCAAAATAATAATAATAATAATTTAAATTTTGTATGAAAACACAGTCTCACTATGTTGCTCAGGCTGATCTGGAACTCACTGGCCTGGCGTAGTGGCTTCCGCCTGTAATCCCAGCATATTGGGAGGCCAAGAAGGGAAGATTGCTTAAAGCCAGGAGTTTGAGACAGCCTGGGCAGCATAGGGAGACCCCTATCTCTACAAAATATAAAAAGCTTAGCCAGGCGTGGTGGTTCGTACCTGTAGTCCCAGTTACTTAGGAGGCTGGGGTGGGAGGATCGCTTGAGCTCAGGACTAGAGTGGGCTATGATTGCACCACTGCACTCCAGCCTGGGTGACAGAACAAGGCTCTGTCTCTAAAACAAAGTGTCTTGCTTGATGTCAAGGTGCCGGTGACTTGCATATAATGAGAGGATGGCTTGGGCCTAGGAGTTCCAGACCTGCCTGTGCAACATAGTGAGACTGTGCATTTAAAAAAAAAATTTTTTTTTTGAGACAGTCTCACTGTGTTGCCAGGCTTGAGTGCAGTGGCAGGATCTCGGCTCACTGCAACCTCTGCCTCCCAGGTTCAAGCGATTCTCCTCCCTCAGTCTCCTGAGTAGCTGGGATAACAGGAATGTGACTCCACACCTAGCTAATTTTGTATTTTTTAGTAGAGATGTGGTTTCTCCATGTTGGCCAGGATGGTCTTGATCTCCTGACCTCATGATCCACCCGCCTCCACCTCCCAAAGTGCTGGGATTACAGGCATGAGCCACTGCACCAGGCCTAAACATTTTTTAAAAAGAAAAACTATTCTAACATTGTTGACTTTTTAATAGATCACACAGAAGCTCTTTCAAAATAAATTTTTATTGTCTGTCTTGGTTACCCCTGAATACTTGGCACGTAGAAAAGGGTCTTGGAACACATTAATATTTTGCTGGTTTGGGGAGATACGTGTTAGAAGATTTGTTGAGATGTCTTGGGACAGGGTAGGAACCAGAGATGGGAATGGTTGAAGATCACGACTAGGAGGCAAAGATTCCTCCCATCCCCAACCCCACACCCAAACAAACCAAACACTATCAATCCAGGCACGTTTAATAACTAGACATAAAAATATCTCCTATGGAGCTGGGCGTGGTGGCTCACGCCTGGAATCCAGCACTTGGGGAGGCTGAGGTGGGGGAATCACCTGGGGTCAGAAGTTTGAGACTAGCCTGACGAATATGGAGAAACTCCATCTCTACAAAAACTACAAAATTAGCTGGGCATGTTGGCACATGCCTGTAATCCCAGCTACTTGGGAGGCTGAGGCAGGAGAATCGCTTGAGCCCGGGAGGCGGAGGTTGCAGTGAGCCGAGATCACGCCATTGCACTCCAGCTTGGGCAACAAGAGCGAAACTCCATCTCAAAAAAACAAAAATCTCCTATGGATTGAGTCTCAATGGTGCGATCTTGGCTCACCACAACCTCTGCCTCCCGGGTTCAAGCGATTCTCCTGCCTCAGCCTCCTGAGTAGCTGGGAGTACAGGCATGCATCACTATGCCAGGATAATTTTGTATTTTAGTAGAGACAGGGTTTCTCCATGTTGGTCAGGCTGGTCTGGAACTCCTGACCTCAGGTGATCCGCCTGCCTCGGCCTCCCAAAGTGCTGGGATTACAGGTGCCAGCCACTGCACCCAGTTACCTTCTAGCCAATTATCAATCCTTAGGGTGGTCTTGGGGACCTCTGACTTTTGCAACATGTGTGACCTTCCTTTGAATTAGGTTGTTAGAGCATTTCTGCACACCAGCAGATTAATTCTTTGAATTCCTAAAAATGGGAAAGATGGAGGAAACACAGGCAAAGTGAAGAGAGATACCCTACTGAAGTCTTCAACATATGAGTCTGAGAGGATTAAAAGTATTGTTACTCTGGGAGCAAATGTGCATGTCACCTGGGAGTAAGACATGAAAACTTGCCCACTGTTGGAAAGTAGTCTTGCATTACTGGACGTACTTGGGCAGAGAAGAGAAAGATAAAGTGTCACTACACATTTATATTCACAAAAGCCTCTCCAGGTGTCCTTGTGCTATATAGGGCATCTATCTAGTCAGATCAGATACATAAATATAGACATAGACATATATCTGTATGAATGCAGAATAAGAATGGGGAGGAAGGCCGGGTGCGGTGGCTCAAGCCTGTAATCCCAGCACTTTGGGAGGCCGAGGCGGGTGGATCACGAGGTCAAGAGATCGAGACCATCCTGGTCAACATGGTGAAACCCCGTCTCTACTAAAAATACAAAAAATTAGCTGGGCATGGTGGCGCATGCCTGTAATCCCAGCTACTCAGGAGGCTGAGGCAGGAGAATTGCCTGAACCCAGGAGGCGGAGGTTGCGGTGAGCCGAGATCGCGCCATTGCACTCCAGCCTGGGCAACAAGAGCG